GAGAGAGAGAGAGAGAGGCTCCAGGCCTCCACCCCTGAAGGGGGAGAACGTAAAGAAGCAGAACGGGTAGTAAAGACTCTATGTAGTCAAGACTGAAGGACAGTCTTTGTAATATGTAAATAATGTAATCATGTATATATATAATAATGTAAATAGACAGCTAGAATAGATAGGATAGGATGTACCGGGATTGTCATTCATAGCTATAATCAACTTTCCCACATCCGATCCCGAGCAATCCTGACCGAGCGAGGGCTGAACTGACACAGGCAGCAGTAGCAGCAGAAGACAAAGAAAGACAACAGGGATAGGCACCTGCCACACCGGCAGAGTTAAGTAGCCTAGATACCAACGCCCCTTAAGATATACTGATAAAGGGTAATAATAAAGTATTAAGTCGCTACCTGTAAGCTACGGGAGGAGTGGTCAAGGCGCAAGGACTACCTGCCAGGGAGTAGTCCCCACGATTGAAAGGACAGAAAATAGATGGTGGCAGCTTTTACCAAAAAGGAAACCCCGAACAGGAGAATCCTAGCTAAGGGTGAGCTAGGATGAGTGTGATAACTCCTTACAGAGCAAGTGACGGTGGAGGCAAGGAAGGATACCTCCACGGCCCCCTACTTGCGGTGTAACCGTGGTGGCAAAGGAGGCTGACTCCACGCCCCCCTGCACCACGGCATTACAGTGGCGGAAGCGGGTGGGATACCTCCATGCCCCCCTACGCCGCCAGGGCATTACACTTAGTATAAAAGTTACTGCCATTACAGAACATTCAAGTTCACAGTGTGCATATTCAGCATGACCATGATTTAAGTGTCCCTCAAGATCTATTATATACAAGATCACATCAAAGTAAACTAAGTATTGTAAAACTGACAATTTCCTATTCTGGTTGACAGTGTGACCATACTGGACTCTCAGTGCACTATCTCTTTACATTCAAAGAAACTAATCAGCCTTGTCTTGACTTCTGATGCATCGCATATCACATTATAAATATTTTCTTCATGTCATGGAAGATTTTCAAAATTGAAATACGACCCATCCAACTGAAGCCTTCTCTTCTAAGCACAGCATCAGGCCAAAGAACTACCTACGTTTAAGATGAGCACCATAATTCTCAGAGCTCATAAACAACTGGGTCAGGGATATTAGAATTATCAGTATTTTACAGTAAACATGTCTTTTGTTCAGTTTCTAAAAACATCCAGGCTCTGATTGGTGCTGCCATCTATGATATTCTTAATGACATTGTCTGTTTTGATTTTGAATTTAAGATATGTCTCCACTGTATACTGTACTTTGCTGCTGGAAGATGTACTCAACATTAGGACCAAAGGGTTTCAACAATAAAAGTTTATTATAAAACATTAAAATGGGTTTAAGATTGGAATAAAGCAGTATACTATGACTCGTTTAGAAATTAACTGGTGTTAGAATGCTATAGCCTGCAGGTTATCTTTGTACACCACATACTCTCTTTTTCTGTAGCCCGATGAATTATTGGAGGAAGTGGCGTTACGTCTCGTGGTTCCCATGCTCCAGCAAATAAGTTATCCACATAGTTTTTCAGATACCTGCAAAAAGTTAATAAACCACCATGAATGAAACTAAAATAAAAATCTACTCTAGTGATTACTGAGGTAAAAACATGGATGAATATTTGTCATGCAGACTATGACTGAACATCTAACCACTAACAAATCTACTGACAAGGTCTTCATTATATGACATATCATATAACAAATCCCCAATCTAAAGAGCATGCACCCCCAAAGCACTAGATTTAGAATCACATCAACCTTCCCTCATGCCTGCATTAATTTCCGTGCAATTACACACAACTCTTGGCAACAAGTGTTAATTGTCAGTGACATCTTCTGAATGAAAATGCGTTGGAATCAAATGATGTCCAGCCGATTCATAACAAGAGGAAGATTTAACACTATGCATTAAATAGGTCCCAGACATGATTTCAGGCACCTATTAACAGTACAAACTGTACAGAAAATTCTGTATGTGACTTTTATGCACTTCTCTGTTCATTTAACATAGTCTTTTTCCATGCCTAACATAGCAGAATTCAGTTAAATTAAATGTCTGACATGCTTAATGCACTAAAACAAAATGTAAGAAAAGCATGTAAGTCAGTACTCTAAAGTCAGGATTAAATGATGTAGTAATGAATATACAATGTCTCTTCCTATACAGTTACAAGCTTCTGTCACTTCCAGAAAACCAGTCAGTGACAGCCTGCCTTCAGGTCAGAACTACCAGTTCATCTTGATATGAATGCAGAATTGCTCTATACAATCAACAAAAGTAACTTACCTTCATTACAAGATTTGCATTCACACTTTCTTTCTCTCTCCCCCATTGTCTCTTTTATCATACAAGTAGGATGAGGCTCAACTCAGTACCAGCCTAAAATGACTCAGGCTGAACACTATCAGTAAATCCCACTGAAGTAATTCATAAGAAATTCACATGGGTAAGCATTTGGTTTTACTTTCATCTCTTAATGAAAGGTGAATTAAGCAGCAGTTGTCACTGTGAATGGATAAGGATAAAAGTGTCAAACAGCATGTTAAGTACCAGTTATCGTTTGAATAAACATGGTTCAGCATTCTGTCAGACAACTTGTATTTCTGTGTGAATCATATGTGAAGTGCCATTCATCTGAAATGTGTTGAACTGCCTGGTCACAATTTTTACCACAACAGGCATCCATATGCCTATTAATACAGACAAGTCTACTGGATTAACTGGGCAAGGCACCTATTAAAAATGTTTTGTGTTCTTACTGAAGAGAAATAATCTAGCCTACCTCCTAGGGCAGGCTGGAATATTCATGAGTCACCAGGACATCACAAAAGGAGACTGGATTTAAAAATCATTAGAAGGAAAGCTCACAAACTTCAGCTATATAAGACAAAACTTCAAAAATGTGTAAGAACTTCCTCACATGAATCCCAACCTACTAAACTGGTATAGTGTGTACGTGCATGTACAGCAACATTTTTAGCGTTCCTTATAATCTAGAGAAATTGCTTTTATTGTACAGAGAGTGATTACAGGCTCTTATTGGGATGAACTGGTAGTGCTTGATCAAAGACAGGCTGTCACCGACCAGCAATCACAAAGTGAGAGAAGTGTGTAAATGTTATAGGAAAACATGCTGTATATGGCCCAGCCCTTCAGATGATTAATGTTATGACCATAGATAAATACATTAAGAACCGAATGGTTTGATAAAAATTGTTTTAATAAAATACAAGGCAATAAAAGCAGCAGAACTTCTAGAAAGATTCCTTCTCATGATACTGTCACATGTATGGAGTAACTATAGGCAGGGTTTGGATTGGTAACTGGATTTACTGAACACTTACAGATCATAACTACAAGTAACTATAGCGCTATCACTAATTCACACATTCGGCAGTTCACTATAGCATGCACTAAGTCTTCTCAGTCTGATGTGTCTTCACAAGTCGTCTGGTAACAGCTTCCAATGCCATAGATCCCTCAACTTTGATGTTCACGCCCTTACTGGCTGGTGACTGTCTCACAACTAACTAAACTCTATACTGTCCTGCTTATAACACCTTGGCATGGACCATACAGAAAACACCTCTTCCCACAGCCCTCCTACTGTTGCAAGACATTGCTGTGGATGTGACATGTTCCTCTGTTGTGTGTGTATGAGCCACTACTTAACAATGGGTCTACATTCTACATTTATACAACTAAAAGAAGTGCACTTCTTTACAGACTTAAGGCATACAAACTCACTATTCCTGACTTTACTTTAGTAAGTAATATGTACAGTTCTACCTTTACCTTCAAGTTGGTCTTGTCATGCAAATTAGATATTTCACTATGCGAGACTGAGAGGAACTTCATATCTGGGTTCCAGAGCATGAATACATTGCCTGTATTTTTGTACTAATAAAGATGGTAAAATATATAGTACTATAATGTACACTGTCATGGGCACAACTCAACTAAAACTGGCTTCCAGCCTTAATACATTTGAACAGCTTCCTGCTAACAACAGCTGTGAGAGATCTGTCATGCAATTTTTTATTTCATTTCAGGTATGCTTTGGTGTACTTGGAACAAAAAAGCCTTCCCAGAATGGTAGTGCTTCCTGCAGGTACTTCGAGGTTATTTGTACAATAAGTGCAATTGCCTCATCTTTCCAATTTTTCTTAAAATTACTCCATATTAAAATCCTCCCAATATAGCTAGGCTAAAGTTGAGCTTCATGGTCCAACAAACCAAGAACAATCACCACTGATTTTTATGTCTACCATATAATCTGGTTGGGGTTCCAAACTCATATTTATTTGTGTTCACTGACAATATGAATCACTTGTTTGGCTTCTGATAGTGCCATAAACTACAGCCTTAGTACACTAAACAATGGGATGGTAAATACTATCACTTCAATAAAATTGATTAATTATGAGTTAGTGACAACTTTAGTGGATAGAGGGTGCTGCATGGTCAGTGCAATGAATGCCCACGGCCATTAATTTCGGTTTTCTAGATCGGAGCCGCTATTTCCTTGAAATAGCTCCTCAATTATCCTATCGAGGCTGAGTGGACCCTGTTCAAGGCCCACTACTTCTCTGAAAATCTGGCAGTGTCAAGAATAGAACCCGGACCTCTGGGTCTGTAGCCAGGAACTCTGACCACTAGACCACATTCAGTATCTGCATTCTCGTTCTAATCATAAAATTCCTAGTTTCAAAGTGCATTACAAATTTTTACATCTCTAGTCACCAAGACCACAATAAAGCTTTTACAATTATATGATATTTCACAATATCATGGCATGATTAACATTAAATAGTTGCTTTGGAGATGCAGCATAGAATAAGAACACTTTGGTTGTTTGATTTTTGAATGAAAACATATTTTCTCGATTTTAAATTGAGCATTTGTTCAGCCATGTCTCATCACAAAACTTTCACTCGTGTGTGAACATGGTACACTATAATACACCGTAGTTTCTGAAATACCTTATGCCCCTGAGTTAATGGCACATCCAGTTTTCAAGAAATAAAAAAACACAAAAAGTTCACACGATGTTCTTCATTTATTTCCACTACAGGCTTGTATTTTCCATGATCTGACATCCAATCTCTGGGAGACACGTGTTTGGTTCTAATACACAAATCATATCTTGAAAAAAAAAATCATCCTGATTCATATTGCACACCAGAACTGCCGCTTGTGAAGAGTTTGTAAAGCCTTCTGTCTATTTCAGAAATCAATTAATTTTCTAGCAGCAGTGCAATTTCAGATTTATTCTGCCACTTGAATTATTTTGTTTCTCACTATGGATGAAAGACTGTAAATACCTGCTTTCAGTACTCATGTTTAGCAGAACACATCAAACTACATCACAGATTGCTCTTAAACTGTGGACTGTGGCTGCACAAGGGTAGTTAGTTACTTATTGGAGAGGGTGGGTTTCCCCATGCACTTAGACCAGTATTGGTCCATTGTGCTTCCCTCTATGATATTCTATCAGTCTCTATACCCTACCGATATTGGTGCGTACCATCAGTCCCGACCGAGTCAGCGAGTTCGGCCACTTGCTTAGCGGTGTCTATAATGCTTCCTCCATCTATTAGAGGCCTTAGAGACTATTGTTTGGCGGGAAACGTCCTGGAATTTTGCTCAGTGATCTCCTTAGGAGATACGAGGTTCTTTTACGTGCTGTAAAGTTACGACACGGGACACACAGCTTAAAGTCCCTCCTGGAGGACTTGTTCCCTGAATTTTTCCGCCCTTAAAAATTCGACGACCTCCGCCGAGTATTTGAACCCGTGTACCACGAGTCATGAGGTGGGAACGTTACCTCTAGACTACGGAGGCCGCTCTGCACAAGGGTAAGGAAAGGGAGATGTTAAAGTTACAATGGGCCCAAAATGTGTAGTGTTCTTGACCTCAAAAAAACAGTATGCCCTGGATCCCACGTTGCCAACCTTATTATGAATAAGCCATGCATCCTGATTTTCACATATAAAAAAGCTGAATTAGGTGCTTGAAAACATATGGTAACAATCAAACCTTTATAAAATCAATACTAGGTGCTATCTACTGGATAACTGTGAAAATAATGGGGCTCTTAAATGGAAAGGAAGCCCAAGTCACATGTTCTTGCAGCTTCATATAATGAAACAGTTCTGGCAATAAATTTAAAATTTAAAACTAATTTAAATAAATTTAAAACTCAAGAACAAATGTTCTATGACCAAAAATTATACAGTGTTATAGATTACAGATTCAGTTCTGTAAAAATATGGAAATATTTGCATGAAAGGGCATAATACTGATACTTCTAGCGATCACACTTCTTTATCATATTAGTTAATCCAGCTGCAGGGCATAAATGCTTACCATGATACTAGTCGTGCTCTCAAACCAGTACTCTTTCTGGAACCAAGAACCTCCTGTTTCACAAGTGAACATGGATAGAGTACATCAATAGGAAATTCCACAAACACAGGACCTAAACAAAGTAAAAACTTTACTAGAACTGCCACATTTATGTGAAAACAATTTTAAATATTAAACTCACATGCAATATTTCTGTCGAAGGGTATTTCTAATGCTTTGCTCTCCATAGACCTTTATATAAAGAATGCACACAGGGGATATGGTGGTAACATGGTAAGGCAAGAGTCTTCACTTGGCCACCAGTCAGATTCTGGTTCCAATTTCTCTGGGCACCCATTTAGGTCTTTAACTGTCAAAGATTAAATGCTGGGGCTGTGGTCTGGAGCCCACACCAGCCTTCATTCTGAGTAATCCTGCTACTTGGAGTGCAAGAACCTATTTCAGTGCTTGGGCAGGGTAACATTCTAGACTTGTATTCAGAAGGTTGAGTTTCAGCCAGGATAATGGCTATCTTGACTGAGGGATTATGTGGTTTTCTTATTAATCGAGACAAATGCTGGGACAGCACCTCACTCAAGCCACGACAACTTCTTCTCAAGTCCTTCAAATTCATCATTTATCAATCATCCCACCATTACATAGTATACAAACTTAATTACATTTAATTATGGGTATATAATATAAACAAATATGTAAGTATATAAATATATGAAGACCACTAACCTGGTGTACCTGACTGTGCCTCCTGTATAGCATATTTTAGAGACGGCACAATATCTCGAACAGAAGTAACAGAAACACAATATTTACAGACTGTGCGGAACAGTGACATCTGATCGATATCCTGTAAAGCACCTCTACCCTTAAGCATTCCAGCTGCAGCACCACCTGAAATAAAATCAATCATTTAAAAGTAGAAGTTCTAAATGAAAATGTCATTTTCATTGTTTTACATTCTACCCCTTTGCTGAAAGTCTTATGAAAATAAAATATGTGAGAGCGATAGCAGAAGTGATGATTCACAAGAGAGAATGAAATCACCACATATCATATAAGGCTAAAACTGAAAGAGGTCTCTTGGGGAGGGTGAGGAGCCGTTCCATCAAGAAGAAAAGAATGTCTAACCAGCAGAGGACACTGGTGAGAAAGATGCCTCTTCAGAAGAAAACTGAGGGCTTGGCTGGAGCTCAGTCGCAGGTTCAGCTGAGACCAGTCAAGGGGGCTCAGATGTTCCCGATGGTGCCTTCAGGGACAAAATTATCAGCATTGATTTTGGCCAGCACATTCACATCATCTTAATCTTTGTGATTTTTTCTTCTGGGACTGTTTGAAGGTCAAAGTTTGCAACAGTAATCCCCAAATGGAAGAACTATAATAAAACATCCATAGAGAAATTGCAAATAGTCCTACAGAACATCTTCCACTAGTATGAGGAATATTTGTGTAGGAGGACAGCATTCTCAACACCTCCTGTGATCTGTGAAAAAAAGCAAGAACTTCCCTTGTTTCCAAATATTATCAACCATCAGGCATGCTAATTCACTGGCAAAATTCGTATGCACCTAGCAGCAAGTGGCACACCAGCTGCCATGAAGTACAGAGCCATGGAACTGGTCAATGAAGTAAAAATCTTATCTGTACAATCACTTTAGAAATATAAAATATTATGCACCTATCAACAATACTGGCGACTCAGCAAGCTGTGCATTCTTCACTGCAGTAACTGTGTTTGTCAGACCTGGTCCAGCTGTTACTGCAGCCACACCAATTGTTCCAGACAATCTTGCAACAGCATCTGCTGCAAATACAGCTGTTACCTGCACCAACAATAACAGTTACAATGATAATTGCTGTTTCACTGTGAATTAGGTCACCAAAATTTAACTTTGTATTGAAATACAAATATTTTATTACACATAATTACAGTAACATGGAAAGGAGACTGGAAAGATACCTCATGTCTTGTGTCCACAATCTGAATCCCTACTGCCTCTGCAGCAACAAGTATGGGTGAAATGTGCCCACCAACAAGTGTAAACATAAACTTCACTCCATGGCTCTGTAGGACTTCAGCCACAAGTTCTCCACCATGTTTTTTGCTGTTCTGATCTATCTACAACACAGGCACATCAACAAAAGATGAATTACAAGCTGCAGTGCCTTCATACTGACACAGTTCTATAAATTTCCAAGTTAATGCAGACACATTCAATAGACCACATCTTATATTTACAATTCTTACAATTTTAAACACATTTGTCTTCTCTGGATCAGTAGTTTAAATGAAATATACCTATTTTCTTTCCCAGGTACAAACTTAAACTCAAATTCTTATCTCTGTAACCCAAGCTTTCCAAGCATGTACTCAATCTGAGAAGGATCTTTGGGGATGTAACACCATATAGTCTGTTGAACGTCAACTGATGTTTTGGAACAACATGCCACCTCCATCTTCAGGGTCGAAGAATAAGCCATGCAAGACACCAGTATGAGACTGGTAGCAAGCAATGTCAGTTAACTTCTACCGAACTACACAGCATTAAGTACCAGAAAAGATCTGCTTGCTACCTCAAACACTATGTTTGAAACATTAGTTTTAAAGTTGAACACTTGCAATTATATGACTATAATTTATTTTACATGTGAATATGAAATATATTCCTACTAGGCTCAAGCAGGCAGTAAAGAATTTCAGTATACAAAATTCACCGATTAAGACTGCCACCACACCATTGACACCTGCCACATACAGGAGATGAATAATGCAAATTATTATATGTTTCTTCAAAAACCGTAAATACTGTTACAAGTCTGCAGAAGCAATATTTATATCAGTGAGTTGTCCGTCACAGGGTCAATATCATATTCATCACGAGATCAAACCTTTCATCTTGATAATGAAAGATAAGGGGAGCGGTTTTAAGTTCATGTTATTTCTGTTACAAAAATAACCACTACCTGCCAAACTTGACCTAAGCGCACTAAATTATACCCTTTTCAATAGATATTTTCAGAGGGGCAAGTATAACGGCCACCGCTTGCACGATTCTGTCAGGTGATGTATATGGCAGTTTATAAGAAAGTAAAACAGTAATTACTTGCTGACAGTACTTAAGGTTCAAACACAACCGGTGCAAGGTTGAGTGGTATTAATCAAACATACTTAAGTAATTTCATACATATAAATACGCTAGCACCAATAGAATATGTATACCACTGTCTGCACATAACGTCTCGAATGAAATACTGTAGCGTGCATAGTTGTTGTCACAAATTACTAACTCACCTTATGCAATGCTATGTATATCAGATTGAACCAGCTAACGAAAAAGCCGGCAAAAATACCGAAGAACACACAAAATATAAATAATATGGAAAAGAACAATCCATGCTCTTGTACTATTTCTTCTTCCAGAGTCCGTGAACCCTCCATGTTTTGTAGATGGTAAAATTTATTAAATTAAATCAACTAACCATAACACCCTCTTTACGCTTTCAACCTTTCACCAAATCAGAATCGTCAGAACCGTCAGAATGACACCACAGATCACTTTTGCGATAAGTCAGATTAGTACGTGGTAAAAGTAAACACATATCAGTGTAGAGTACGGATTAGTAAATTGTCTTATTTACTTACGTATACTCACTCATCTGTGATACATTCTATCCCGCTATGCACAAGGCATGTCCAACTTCAAACAAGTTATGATCAACTTTTTAGTTTCAAAATTGTCAGTGATCTACCACACCCTCCTATCGTCGTACCTCGCTTTATGCAAAAATATTGGTAAAAATAACACGACACATGATATTTGTTGTAAAAGCAACATACATTGAAAGTATAGTCTACTTTAACACGTATTTTCCCTTCAAAATCTGAATATAACTATATTATATTACAAGTGAATTTACATGCTTTTCACGTATAATTTCCTTATAGGCCTATGTGACTGAACAAAAATCGACGCGTTTGACATGCCTGCTATACACCAAAGTCGAGCGAAGTCTAGGAAGTCTAGGATCGTGAGGTTAACTCTTCGTAAAGGTCATCGTTTGTATCCGCCATGAGGGACGTCGTTACAGCTCGTACACCCAACAGCGTGTCTTAAATCTTTGCATTGAATTCCTCGCGGGAGTCCTTTGTCCGTCGGTTTACGGACAACAGGGCGTCCTCCATTAGATTTTTCATGGTCTCCTCCAGTTTGGACCGAATGGAGCTTATCATGCGCTCCGTCTTTTCTTGGCTGCCCCACACTGGCCTTCGTTTGTTCTTGGCTGTTCCTTGTCGCGACCGTCGCGACCTCCATCTCCTGTTGGATAGCCTCTCTTCTCTTGTATGGCCTCGATTGCTTTTTGTTTGACATTCATCTGTGCTTTCATATTTTCTTGGCCACCTTTAATTTCATCCTGGCTGGCTTACAATTTTTTCCATGATTGGTTTCCATATTTACTTGATCGGCCCTTGTGGCTTTAATATCAACCATTATTATTATTATTATTATTATTTTGGGGGGGGGGTCATCCTGATGGTATTATGGACTCATTTTACTCGCAAATCGCAAATTTTGGTGAATGATTTAGACCAGGTTGGTTGCCATTCAAGTCCAAAAGTGCCATATTACTGGTTGTGGGGACTATGGAGCAGCAGTTCCAAACTTGGCTAGGGGGCCTGAGGTGTTCCAAGGCATTATGAGGCCAACAGAGATTCAATTTTTAATGTCAAAGTCAGCTGAAATATTTATTTTTGATGGTATGTATTCATCCCCAATACCCACTGGGTAAGAGACTGGGCAGGCCCCAAGGCCAGTCTGGACGCTATGGAGAGGAGAAAATTCATTTCCTTGTCAGGAATCAGGCTCTGGCCATCCAACTTATAGCCCACTGCTATACCAACAGAGCTATCCCAGCTCCCCTAAGTCTATTTTATAGAAAATGAAAATTTGTTAACGTACTTACAAGGCTTAAATACTTCAGGTGCTACAATAACCACCATTCAAGGTTCAATTTCCGCAAACAGTTCAAATGAAAAAGTATAAATTATAAAATGTGCAACGTATTTACCTGACTAATTTGTATCACACTGCAATTGCGTTAAATGGAGTGACTTCTTAAGATGGATGAACAAATAATTAAATGTAGGGTTTCCCACGGGTGTTTACAAATAATTAAACTATTCAAGCATAAACACACTTACTTATGTATTCAAGGAGCTGAGCCCTTCAGAAGGAGCCACCAATTCTGCAGCTACTAAAAAATTTCCCAGCATTTTATGGAACACGAAGGTTCATTACCGTGTTCACAAGAGCCCTCCACTGGTCCCTATCCTGAGCCAGACCAATCCAATCAATACCATCCCATCCTATCTTTCTAAGATTCATTTTAATATTGTCCACCCACCTATGCCTTGGTCTTCCCGGTGGGCTCTTTCCTTCTGGCTTTCCCACCCATATCCTATATGTATTCCTCGTCTCCCCCATTCGTGCTACATGTCCTGCCCACTTCATCCTCCTTGACTTGATTATTCTAATTATACTCGGAGAAGAGTACAAGTTATGAAGCTCCTCATTATGCAGTTTTCTCCAACCTCCTGTCACTTCATCTCTCTTCGGTCCAAATATTCTCCTCAACACCCTGTTCTCAAACACCTTTAGTCTATTGTCCTCCCTTAATGTCAGAGACCAAGTTTCACACCCATACAGAACCACAAGCAAAATTAGTTTTATATATTCTAATTCTTATGTTTTTGGACAGCAGACGAGAAGACAAAAGGTTCTGGACTGAATGGTGGCAAGCATTAACCGAGTTCAATCTCCTCTTAATTTCCTCCTGAATCAGGTTTTGATCTGTACACTGCAATTGCGTTAAATGGAGTGACTTTTAAGATGGATGAATAAATAATTAAATGTAGGGGTTTCCACAGGTGTTTACAAATGATTAAACTATTCAAGCATAAACACACACACAAAAAATTTCATTTTCTTTATTTAAGTGGCCAGATTGACTGAACAAAATCATTACATAAACATATGTATGAGTACCACATAGAAGTAAAATGATTTCTCTAAAAAACAATGTCGCCCATATCATAGGATCAATTTGAACACAATATACTGAATGTTTTGAATTGTGTTTTGTTAACTGTGACATACAAAGGCACTAAGACTTGTCAAAATAAACCTATTACATAAGAATGTAACACTGTGGTACATTAGAGGCAGCTCTTTATAAACCCTTAACTGATCACAATAAACATAAGACCAAAGATGTTTTAGTTATTACAAAATACAGGTTAAATGGTGAGCTATGTACATTGAAGAAAACAGCATTTTCTTAACAGTAGTGATTACTATAATTCATACCTAGGCACTTAGCTAGAAAGGTACACCATTAACTACAAAATGTATAAATGCAACCAGTGGCATGATTTACACACTGTACCCTTAATTAGATACACATTCCTCATCTAAAATATTATTTCAGTTGTCTTAGAAAAAACAATAATGTGACTAAGAAAAGTTAAATTTTGGTTGCTTCTAACATAAATAACTGAGAGTCGCAAAAGAAAACTGGTTTATGTGGTATGTACAGTAACTGAAATTACATATCATGAAATCAGTTGCTTATACTTCAGAAAGTTTAACCAGTATGAGAGGACTATTATTTTAATAGTTGCAACATACAACTTAGACAACAGCTTCCAATTTAAAATATAAGTATATCAAAACATCACTAACCTATGAAATAAGAAATGTGCATATAATTATCTCCAGTGCATTCGCAAGTTAACTACCTTTATCTTGCCATAAGGCAATGAGTAACTTCTCCTATTAACACTACTATATTACAGATGCCTGATTTGTGGTATAAACACAATATATAAAAAATTGATATAAAATATTATTTCTATTATATTATTTAATAAAATTTTGTTCTCACTTCTTTTTTATCATTCCATTTCACCACCATGGCCCTGACAATATCACTGTTTTGGACGGAATCCGATAAGGCCATGGTAGGAAGTGCAGTTCCATTGCTTTCTTTTAAATTCAATGTATGCATATAAAACAGAAACATAACAGAAGAAAGATAGTATAATGAAGCTAACCACAGTGGCTATAATTCTCAACAGTGATATGTATAAGCTTTGAAACAACTGAAATATTGCTACTTTCTGAATAAAAAAATTATACTAATGCATAAATAATTTTAATCTAAAATATATTCCAAAGACTTGAAACTCCTGTAAAGTGACAACAAATCTGCAAATGCTATAAAAATACAAAACTACAAGACAATTTGGGAATAATTATTAGAAAGATACTAAATCAGAACAAATTAGTACCACTTGCACCTATCTACTTACATACATACATGTGTGTGTTCTTTATATTTCCATGCCACCACACTTTTATTTTGACCAAATCCGGTACAAAGATAAAGAACCTCCATCGGGAAGTTTCAGACACTTAAAAGACTCCAGATTCTTTAGTTTTTGCTTATTGCTAAAGAACCATTCATCCTAGTGTATCACTGTTTTACATCTGCAATGGATTAGTTAATACTCTTACAATCCTATTATTTTATACTAACACCATTAGGATCAACAACATATTTTTTCAGTGTATTACATTTCATAATTATAGTGTGCCATCACACCTGGACAAGAATGGGGGAATCAGCTAGTTTATGGTATGTATTAATCTTTCATAATATCATGTTTTACATAATCCATATCATTGCCATGCTAACATTACCATGGAAAATCTGAAAAATGAAAGCATGATTTTGTTTTACAAAACTTATACTTGCTTGGTAAAAATGTGCAAATTAGCATGTAAAAACTGCTGGAAAAAGAGAAGAGAAGTAATGGAATATGACATTCTGTGAGGAAAATAAATTATCTGAAAGCTGTACACACCAAAGTCCAGTTTGCGTTATTGGTTGTACAACAATTAGGTTTGACTTTGTGATAAGCAACAACAAGTAAATATAAATTTAATCCATAACTGTTCTCTGAGTATTAATACTTGAAACAATATCATACAGACTGATTCTACAGAGATTATTTTACTGTTTCAGTCAAGACCTGAGTGTTGCAAACATAGGACAAAAAATATCAAGATACTTGACCGTACTGCAGCTCTTAAACAGATAAGTAACAAATAATACAATCAAGATAAAAACAGAGAGTGGATACAGTTTCACAACATTACAGATGTCCAATCCAAATATACATATTCAGGCAATGTAAATGAGATGGTTCAATGGCACTATGTAACAACTGGGTATGGGAACTTGATCTGAAAGAAAATCAAGTTCAACAGACATATTTCTACAATTATTATGCAAATGGTTATCTGGAATGATCTATTAATGGAATGTTTATCATCACAGTTCTATAGTCTGCAGAGAAATTCCCATTCAAGGTGTCCTTGGAGTTGAACATAAATCCAAGGAAAAATACTAATTGAGGAACATGAAAGAGTGACTCCACAGCATTTAAATTTGAAGGACTCAAAATAGTAATCACATGAGAATACAATAAATTCTTTACTTAAAAATAAGAAGCACTTGTACCATAGCA